TTCCCTCACAGGTTAGTGGTTGGGGAAAAAGCCCTATTTTGGAGTGATATTTACAATGCATTCTTCAGTACAAAAATTCAACAGTTATTTGCCAACAGACTTTCCCCATTTTGGGATTCACGAAAGTTAATGATGCAATCCAGAATCTTTTCTGGGATGTTATATGGATATATATGTTAAGACATACAGCACACAATCACTAAAGTTGTTTTTATTGATTCTGTGCTTTACAAAAAAATATACTGGTAATTTTACAGACAGAACATTTAAATATTCATATGATTTAATACATCCTTTTTATTGAAGTTATGATATTTATATAGGGACTTATACCTTTCATGTAAGATTAATTTGATCCATCTTCTTGTTTGATTTTAAAATGATTACTAAAAATCTCAGGACATTTTCACAACATTGGAGAAATTCAGATAATTTGCAAATGAATAGGAGCATTGGCTATACCTGCTGTTTACAGACATTTTCATGGTGGGACACTGATGAAAATAATGAGGTTGGAACACTATAATTTCAAAGTTCAATAAACTCACAGTTATTTTGAGGTTTTTGCTTTCTGGAAATATTTCTAGAGTGCAAGTATGTTACAGATGATATAGTATGGGTAAACATTAGAATGTTCTTACCCAGTCATTGATGTAGACTGTGGGCTATTACTGATAACAACATATCTTTCTGGCTCAACCACCCTCATTTCTCTCTAGAAGTTCCTACATTAATTGTTCTGCAAGTCTAGAGATACCTTTTTTTTTTTTTTTTTTTTTTTTTTTTTTAATTATGGAGGTATTATACAATTCTTGTTCATGTCTCTGCTCTACAGCCCAATTTATTTCACTGGTTGGAAATTATGATATGCTAGGAGAATAAGAGAAATGTAAGAAATAACTTGTTTGCTTAACTGTTAGTTAAAACAAATACTATCTTATCTTCTCTGAATTAAACAAACTCATTTCCTTTAGTCTTTCCTCACAGGCCATATTTTTAAAACTCAGATCTTTTGTATTTTTTTTTTTCAACACTGTCTGCACTGATCTATCAGTTTATTGAAGTGTAGTGCCCGGGACTAGACACAATATTCCATCTAATTCCATAGTGTGAATAAAGCATTGAATAGAGGAGAAGTATTACTTCACATTTCCTTCCAGTTTTATTCTTTCTTATACATCCTGCTATACATTTGCTATGGCATTTGCCTTTTTCTCAATAGTATGACACTGTTGATTCACATTCACTTTGTGACCTCTTACAACCCCTAATTTGTTTATAGATATGTTTAAAGCCAGATATTCCCCATCCTGTATTTATGTAGTTAATTAATCTAGAAAAAGCATAGTATCTTGCATATGCAACTAAATGTTTTCATATTTTCTGTCTATATCAATTTTATTAAGATCATCTTGAATTGCCCTCTAACATTTGTTCAGTCCCTCCTAGCATATGGTATCTGTTTTTTTGTAATAAGCATTCCAATCGGGTCATTTATGAAAATATTAAATAGTACCAATTCCAGAAGAAAGACACTATTAGAATTTGTCCTTCTGTGAAAGTATCTCTGATGGAGAAGAAACCAAGGACACAATTCCATTGTCCTAAAAAGCACACTTGAAAGTTGGCTAAGGAATGACAATTTGATTTTATTATAGAACGTAAAGTTTTTGTTGTAAACTGAATTCAAAACAATAACAATAAATGGTTCTTCAAAAACAAAAGTTCATTTCTGTAGCGGAACAATTATTTTTATAATTTCTCTCTGCCTATATTTGCCTTTTTAGGGTTGCCAAAGATTTCACCTGTGACCTCAGAAACCTTACCATTCATATTATACCGAAATCTATAAAATTTTGTGAAATATTCTGACAGCAACAAACTTATTAAACAAAACAAAATAAAACAAAACAAAGGAAAGGAACTTTTTTTTTTTTTTTTTTTTTTTTTTTTTTTTTTAAGCTGCCAACCCCCACTCTAATACCTGTAGCTGAAATACTGATTAGCATATAGTTAGACTAACTACTAGCAGATGTAATGTTACCTACAAAGTAAGATGAAATTCAAAAGGGGAAAAAGTGGATTGATTTCAAGAAAATCTTTCTGACAACAAAACCAGTGACACCTAGCTCCCAAGGGAAGATGCAGAAACTTGAATTCTAAGGATTTTTTGGACTTAAGCGGGCAAGGGACCAACTTTGCTCTGACAGGCAAATGAGCCTAGCTTAAGTCACCCATAGAATTAATGCAGACAATTCACAAGTCTGTAGAGGTTAGTGCTAAGGAGCACATGCTTTCTATTAGGCACTGCAAAGGAGGAAAGGGGGTCAGTCCTCCTGAGCTCAATGTAATTCATTGCTTGAAATTATCTATAAACCTTAATGAACTATTTTTTTTTTAATAATTATTTTCTTACTGTTTTCCCAAGGTTAAGTATTTAAAGCAATAGTATTTTTTATTTCTTTGAGATAGTTCTTATTACAACATGTTTATTATAAACTTTCTCAGAGAAAAAATAAAATTTTCACTATTTAAGTTTAAAATATAATCATCATTCTTTGTAGAAAAGAGTAATGAATACTATGCCAGTGACTGTGGCTTGAAAGATCTACTTTGAACATGTGAAGGAATAGAAAGCAAATAGGCTGTCATGTCTATCATGGGATGTTTTCAATTTTTCTTTTAATTTACTCTGTGCAACCTCTAATTTCTATTCTTTATAAGAAATATAAGAATGCCATTTTATAAGGATGCACTATTGGGAGAAGTATAACAGAAATGAGTACGATGCAGGAGCATACAGTTAAAAGTATTACATTACACATAGGAGGACAAAGTTTTTTTATGAACAGAGGAAGTCTGAATTTAGCCTTGTTCCAGATTAACCATGGTCCTAGAGTCACTAATGTGACTGATTTCAAGAGGGCGGTCTTGTAGCATTAGGTATCTGCAGCCAGGGACAGTGAAGAAGGTGGTGACCTTCTGAAGAAGGAATATGACATTGTCCTATTTCCCAGCTCTCTCCCTAGATTCAGAAAAACTGGAAGGCAGATATATTCATTAGTTTTAGTAGTTTCACTTCAAACTTCATCTTTAAGGAGGGAGACTGAGATCCTTGTAAGCTGCAGTCAGGTCAGGTTGAGGTTGTTGGGAACCCATGCTGCTTTCCTCTGGTGGATGGATGTCTACAGGTTATGGACAGAAAGGAGAAATGCCTTGCTGTTCCTGTTGCTCATTTTGTGTTTGATCAGCCACTAAATGGCTTCTGTCATGATACTTTTTTATTCTGTAAGGACATCTTGGCTGTCATTTTGACTTTTGTAGTTAAATTTGGTTTTGATGAAAGGAAAGACGAGAATATAAGTATGAAAACTAAGATATTTTTATCATATAGAATTATTAATTATATAGAATTAATGTATAGGATATTCTGTTCATATTTGGTTTGCTGACATACACAGCAAGTGAATTTCACTGAAATTGCACATGGATTCATTCATGACAATTGTATTTATTGTACCTTTTTGAAAGTTATGAGGGGAATTCATACAGTTGAATTTGCATTAGTTCTTCTTCTTGACCTTTGTCTGTTTACTTGATATGCTTGTCAGAAAAGAGATTGTATTTTACTAAGTGTACACTGTATGACAGGGTGGGTTTCTGATCTCTACTTGGACCCTAGACACTACTACAATGCAAATAACACAACAAAAATATGTATTTTTTTTTTGGCTAATAGAGAAAGTATATATATTTATATATCAGTATTTGTCTCTCTTTTTTTTTTTTTTTTTTTTTTTTTTTTTTTTAATATTCTTTCCTTTAGAAGTTTAGTGTTCTTTGCTAGTCACTCAAGTACTAAATATTTAGCATCAATTCATATGAAAGTTGCTTTGATCTTCATGTAAATAAACAGGCTCTCTTTCTCCCATAGGACTCTTTCTTGAAAAAGATTTCTTTCATCAAGTAGTTTGTCGCATCTCTGTGAACATCAATACTGTTTCCTTCAGAACTTCAAACAAACATTTCCTGCACATTTACAGGAAATACATTAAACACTATAAATGGCAACCTGACTCTCACCTGATTAAACAGCTAAAGAGGGGCTTGGGCAACTGAGTGACACTGCCTTCTCCTGATATCCTGGCAAATACACAACATCTCTTCTACACTGAAGTTAACAATCACAAACATTCATGAATTTGTATGGGTGCATATAAATATATATACACACAAGCACATACATATATAAATGTATGTATTTATACACATTTACAGACTAAAGTTCTCTTTCGTTATGCAACATAAATATTTAAATATTGATGGTGTTTGTAACCATATTTTGCACTTAGCAAATTGTGTCTTGGAAAAGCCCAAAGCACAATGCCCAAAACCCTACTAAGACCATAATTCAAGTACTGTCCTCAAGAACAGGAGAGCAAGCAAAAAGAAATTTAGCAAACTGTGAAGAGATGGATAGAAAACTCATCAAGATGGAAGTTTACCTCTAAGAAAATTTCAGCAGTTTTTAGTCCCTCTCCAACCAGACTGTAAGCTTTGAGACCTCATTTAAAAGAGAAAGAAAGAAGGAAAGAAACGAATGAACAACAACAACAAGAAAAAGCTTAGTATATTTTTGGTTGATTTTACTCATGGAATCCAGCCCTAAAATTTGTCTGCTACTTTTACACAGGATTTTCACTGACATCATTCCATTATGAAGTTCTCCTTTATTCCTTACTTTATTATACATGCAGCTACATGATCAGAATCAGGTCTTTGGGATTTAAAATGTGATGTGTTGGGCAGAAAGCCATGGAGGAGTCTATCTCCAGAAGACATAGTTTCAAAATGTGTTTTCTACAAAAACACTAAATTGTTGAGAATCTAAGAAAGAGCTAATGGTTCAAATGAGTGATTCTTTACCCTAGCCAGCTTTCTGGCATTAATTTGTATGATTGTCCTCTTAACCTTGTCATCAACTGCAAATTTTGACTTACCACAAGGTCATTTCAGAAGTTTTCTGTAGACTGCCTGCTTTCTTAGAGAACAAACCAGCCATCTGTGAAGACAAATTTCATAGCTTTACTGGCCTTTAATGCCCCCCCTCCCCTTTTTTTTTTTTTTTTTTTTTTTTTTGCACTTAGAAAGCTTTGAAATAATTTTAATTGAATCAAACTCATGAATTATAATGTTTGGGAAACACTGCAACATAATAGTCTTTCTTTGTGATATTTACATTCTAGCTTGATTGTCCTCTCTGGTGTCTTGCTTCGGAGCTCCATTTTGACAATATTATTCATGATGCAATTGTATGCTCTGCAATCAGTCACGGCCCTGCTATATAATTCTAGTTTGGTTAAGTGATATGAATATTGAGCAGCTAGGCTTTATTATCTTTGAATGAAGGAACTCTTTATTCTTCCTGTCTTAAGTCTCAGTTAATATTCCAAATAAATACACAGCTTCCAAATAGGTACACAATTGGCCTTTAGTTAATCTTTAACCAAAGAGATTAAGGAAACTCAAGCCTGTTTGACCCTGTAATACATTTGAATCCACAAACAGATTCGGTGCCTCCCTGTTTTTCTTCCCAAGAAGCAGCATTTCATTTGTCACTCTCCCAAAGGGAACATTCTCTCCTTTCTGAATGTAGCAGACTCACACACAGAATATACATGGTTTTACAATTATGTACTTAACTGACACAATTTATGCAAACCTTTCCTTTTTTTTGTCCCCAGGTATGTTGCAGATACTATTAATTCTCAATGTAAAGATTGAGTCTGGTTTGATTTTGCTGTTTGAGTGCTGTATATTACACAGACAATGAATGACTAATGGATGCCCAGAGCCTCAGTGAGTGGAGTCCACCCTCAATAGACTGGAGTGCTATGGAGACACAACCAATCTTGTCTCCTTTACCTCAGCCCAGGAGTAAGACATATATAAAGTTGAATGTGCTTGGGAAAGAGATGTGCCAGAGTGCTAGGCGTGCTCTTGTTAGGCAGAATACTGTAGGACAGTACAGAGTGTTACTGTTTTTCTTTTTTTCTTTTTTTTTTTTTTTTTAATGTATTTATCATCTAACTATCTATCTATCTATTTATTTTGAATACCCCCCTTCAAAATAGGCATTTGTATTCATTGATCACCTAGTCCAACCTCTAACCTAACACTAACCAGTCCTCCATTAAACCATATCACTAAGCTCTACATCTAAACGTCTTTTAAAGACCTTCAGGGATGGTGACTCAACCACTTCACTGGGCAGCTCATTCCTGACAGCCCTCTCAGTAAAGTAGTTCTTCCTAATATCCAACCTAAACCTCCCCTGGTGCAACTTTAGCCCATTCCCCCTCATCCTGTCACCAGGCACGTGGGAGAACAGACCAACGCCACCTCACTACAGCTCCCCTATAGAGAGCAATAAGATCTCCCCATAACCTCTTTTTCTCCAGGCTGAACAATCACAGCTCCATCAGCTGCTCCTTGTAAGACTTTTCTCCAGACCCCTCACCAGCTTCATTGCCCTTCTCTGGACTCGCTTGAGCGCCTCAATGTCCTTTTTGTAGCAAGGGGCCCAAAACTGAACACAGTACTCGAGGTACGGCCTCACCAGAGCCGAGTACAGGGGGACAATCACTTCCCTACTCCTGCTGGCCACACTGTTTCTTATGCAAGCCAGGATGCTGCTGGCCTTCTTGGCCACCTGAGCACACTGCTGGCTCATATTCAGCCAACTATCAACCAATATTCCCAGGTCCCTCTCCACCAGGCAGCTTTCCAACCACTCATCTCCCAGCCTGTAGCTCTGCTTGGGGTTGTTGCGCCCCAGGGGCAGGACCCAGCACTTGGCCTTGTTGAACTTCATACAGTTGGCCTCAGCCCATAGGTCCAGCCTATCCAGATCCTCCTGAAGAGCCTTCCTACCCTCAAGCAGATTGACACACGCACCTAACTTGGTGTCATCTGTGAACTTGCTGAGGTTGCACTCGATCCCCTCATCCAGATCATCGATAAAGATTTTAAAGAGGACTGGGCCCAGTACTGAGCTCTGGGGGATGCCACTAGTGACTGGCCTCCAGCTGGATTTGACTCCATTCACCGCAACTGTTTGGGCCTGGCTATCCAGCCAGTTTTTAATCCAACAAAGTGTATGCCAGTCCAAGCCAAGAGCAGCCAGTTTCTTGAGAATGTTGTGGGAACCGGTGTCAAAAGCCTTGCTGAAGTCAAGGTAGACCATATCCACAGCCTTTCCCTCATCCACCCAGTGTGTCACTTTACCATAGAAGGAGATCAGGTTTGTCAAGCAGGAGTACAGTGAAGAAATGACAGCTGAAACTCCAGTATGTAAATGTGTTGGTGAAAGTTCAACAATTTGCTAGTGTGTCTTATAAAAAACTTTCTCCTGGAGCTGATTTGGATTTGTAACCATAGCCTCACTGAAACATTAGTAAATGTAGACTTTGGTGTTACTTATCAGCCTTGCAAATAATCAATTCTTGAGTTTTATCAGGAGCAGGATGTAGCTCTGGAGAAGACTTTGCATTGATCCAGGATACTAATAACTAATACGCAGCAGTATAATTTAGGTGCTTAATATTCTCCTGGAGACCAACTGAAGGATTTTGGTGAGAGAAAAAGTAAAAATGACCTCACTTTCCAGAGTTATGAAAATGTGTTATAGAAACTAAATATCTGTTAACTAATAAATTCACAACATCTTACTCTAGAAATGACCTTTTATTATGACCTTGACATACTGATGTGTTTGACATTAAGATGAGTGTTTCCATGTTATTTCACTTTCCTTCTGATGAATGCTTTTTAAAAGCTATGTTTATTATATCCTCACGTTGAAATCTGTGACTAAAAATTCATGTCACTGGTAGTGCTAATATGTAAACAAAGATATTGTCACAGGATTTGGGTCAGTTAAATTTCAGGGAGAGCTTTGCAAATATTTTGACTATATTGTACATCCTTATTCGTCAAATGAACATTATTTTATTTTTTAATAAATCTGAAATAGACAGTGTTTCCTAAGTGTTTGCCTTATCCTTTCATACTTGCACTGCTTTCTTTTTTCTTACACAGCTTCTATTTATTTATTTATTTATTTATTTTTATTTCCTGTGATCAGCTTCTGCTGTAAGAAAACTGGTGAGATAGTGAGAAAAATACAGTAAAGATATATTTTTCAGGGGGAGGGAGGATTTGGATTGGTTGTTGGCAGGCTCTCACTGAAAGATGAGTTTGTTTTATTTTTTAAACTCTTCTTTGTAAAACAGTCATGGTTAGGAAGCAAATCTCCAGTTAACCTGGTTTCTCAGGCTACTTAGCCCACACCAATTACATTGATGGGCCAGTGCTATCCCTGGGATAACTCTATTAAGACTGTCTGGATTACACTGCAGTTGGAATAAATTGTGGTGGATTAATTTATGGCAGATGAAATAATTCCTTGATATAGTTCTGAAACAGTGAATCTCTCTCCACAAACTGGCTTCAGGGGGTCCAAAACAGCAACAGCTTTGAAAACACATGGTGAGAGAGGGAACAAACACCTTGCCTTTTAATATCTTACATTATTCTGTGCTCTCCCTCTCCTAGTGTATTCTCAGTGCTCTCCTTCCTCCTTCACTTCTGCTGCTCTCAGTATGAAGAAGTAACTGGGTCAAGCTAGTGGGTCACCGACAATGCAGTATGCACCTCACCATGTGATGTCATGAGCCATAAAGGATTACATGCTTAAGTTTCTCAAAGCCTATCTTACAGGCCCTAATAAAAATCTGTTCTCAGTGACACAGTGGAGAGAGGCAGACAGAAAAACTGTACACATTTCTAAGGTGAAAATACTTTTCAGTTAACAGATGTAAACTAAACATTAGTAATATTCCTACACATATCCCTTACGGAAAGGAAGATCTTTCAATCTGGATGTTCCTTTGTTCCCTCTATTTAAAGAGAAAAGGAAGGCACTCTAAAGTCCATCCACGTATAGCATAGGATACTTGTTCTAAAAGGAAAAGAGATCAAATCTTTTACATGCCATTTGGTATCAGTCACAGCATGTTATGTAACATGACTGACTTGTCACAACATAATGCACTAGGGAGGAATGACAAAAGGCATTTTTCACAGCTATGTTTGAAGAAGCCACAGTTTCAGACAGGCAACCTAATACATTTTCTTGTTAAAGGAACTTCTCTAAACACCTATTGAAAATGTACTCTTTTTCTGGGTCTATCTCTGGAAATACAAAAGTTCTTCAAACATACCTGCATCATATACATGAACATGATAATTTCTTTACACAGGAAAAATGACTGAATGTAGGTACATATATCCACAAGCTTACATAACAACCAGTGCAGTACATATATCACACACAGTTACATGTTTTATATCTATGTATTAACTTCTGTGATCACTTTGAATTTGGTAATTCCTGGTGCAACAACTAGTTTATCAGGTCTAGCACAAACAATCAAGTTCGAGTAAATTATACAACTTTTATTGCTATTATAGTAAAGCAAGAACACTTGTGCCAGTGGGCATTTATTCCATCACACAGTTCTTATGAGAATTATGACAATTTATTTTTACTTTCTATCAGAAACCCCCTTCTGCCTGATTTATGCCAAATTATTTTACATGGAACTGCTATCCCTACCTGTGCTTTGTGTTATTCTCAGCTTTGGTTCTGGCAGCCTTTCAGTAGGTTGAAGGGCATTAGTAATGGCTTTTGTGTTAATCCCAGGCAGTGAATATCACAGAAATCAGATGACAGCATTAGCAGAGTTGGTTGACTCGATTCTCCATGAAGACTCCAAAACTTCAATGTAATAAGGTCTAACACTGATGTACTAAGGCATGTCTGTTCTTTGGCAAACAGAATGGTCTTATTACCTTTGACTTATCTTCCCAGCAATGTTTTGTTCTTTGCTACACTAAACTCGCATTTCTGGACATGTCACCTCTACAAGAATAGCAATTATAGATCTTACATAACAATGCTAAAAATGGATAAATGGAATAACGATGCTTGAAAATGTCAGTTCTAGAAATACTTATATTTTTTTAAAGTTTGATTGTTGTTCAGATAAGTCAGCCTAGAATGAAGGGACTCAAAATTGGTTAGCTAGTTAGTTAGTTTATCTGCAGTTCTTCTGAGAAGTGCTTGTTTCTTTGCTGAAACTCCTTTGTCTCTGACTAGAAGAGTCTGAGAGGATTAGGAAGACCAAAAGTGCAAATTAACAATTTCATTTAATGATTTTGCAGGATGTAGATTATGCTTGACTATGCTAATGTTAATTTTTAATGTTATTTTTTTGACTGTGCAGGCTAGCCTCAATACTTATTTGTTGGCATTTTACTTCATGGTATAAAATCAACACCTGCATTCTCTGGATTCACTTCAGATTTATAACAGAGAGAGTTATAAATTGATCTCATGTTGTAATTATAAATGCAAAATTTCAAGATTCTTAAATGTGACAGCTCAGAAAAACAGGCTGTTAACCTTACCATACAAAGGTATATTAATTTCACACACTTTTGTCAAGAACTACATGAAAACTTCCAGTTTGATAGTCTTGGTAAAATATTTTATTCTTCTTTCCATATGCTTCACATTGTGGATGCAGAGAACAACAACAACAACAAAAAGATATAAATTAAAATTGCCTTAGAGAAATGCTAATTTACATTTATCTCATGAAAATGGGGTTGGGACAACTACTGTTGAAATGAAGTCAGGATTATTTATTGCTACTAAAAATTAAAGGCTCTTAATTCCAAGCCCTGACCTAAAAATATAGTTCATTTTAGAGTAGAGAGAAAACAGAGTAATATTGAAATTTCTCTATCCTTGACTTTGGTATCTTGGCTTTAAAACACACACAAACAAATGAGAATAAAGATAGTTCCTACCTTGAAGCACAGTTTGAAGAATGAAAATGAGCTAAGTTTAAACGTTAGGGGTTTTTCATCCCAAAGGTCATTTGATTACAGAAAGGTTGTTTACAAGACTGAAGCTCACTGCTATTGAAGTAAATGATTCCGATAACATTAGATAAAATCTGCTCATTTATTTTATATTTCAACTAGTTTAAATTCAATGCCAATTTTCTTTCCTTGAAATATATTTGACTTTCTATTGCATTAAGAAAATAAAGTTTAAAGGGAAGATATTGCCTATATTCCACTTTAAAACAAAACAAAACAAAAACAAAACAAAACAAACAAACAAACAAACAAACAAACAAAAACAAACCAGAAAACAACAAAAAAACAAAACCCAAAAACTTTCATATGACTGGTAAAAATAAAAATGTAGCAATAAAGAATGCCTCCATATTTTCTCTCCAACTAGCAGGGAGGGAAAGGAAAGAAAAGTCAATACTT